TAATTGATTGAGAAACAATGCAAGCGATACTTATCAGAGTATCGCTTGCATTGTTTCTCAATCACAATACGTGTTGCATAGTATACGGAAAAATGAAAAAAAAAAAAAATATATATATAACAAAAATATATAACGTACAAGTTAAACGCAAACTAACCTGTGGACACGCAGATGGAGGGCGGGAGCGGCTGCGTCGGCGGTGTCGTCCTCGTGCTCGTCGTCGTGGGCGTCGCCGTGGAGGCAGGGGAGGATGGTTTGCGCGCCGCTGCCGCCGCGGCGACCGCTATCAGCGCTGCCGGATTATAGCGCGGCACCTGCAGCACCACGGGCGTCTTCACCGACAGGTCCACTGGCTCGAGTTGCACCGGCGGCCCTGCCGCCTGAAATTACATCCGACAATGGCCGATTAGTATAATTGCATTTTTTTACTTCAATGGAAAAACTTGTTTGAGAGAAAAATCCAGTGCTTAAACAATTTTTATGTTTGTTTTATACACATTAGTAAGTAGGAACAAATTTGTGTCAAACTCGGACAAACGAGCAAAATATCATAACACAGATGTTCACCCATAACTGAGCCTCAGCTGTTATAACAAGCTTTACTCTCGATATAGTCGATGGTGATGGACAAAAGTGGGGCAAATGTGTATGCAAAAATGTCCCGTCCTCTGTGGATATTTGCAAACCTCTGTATAGGCGAGCGCGCCGTGAAAAAGGGGGGAGAAATTACGTGGTAATGGATGCTGCACGGTCGTCACGCGAAAGATTCGATATTTATCATCGGGGCTTGAGTTTATTTTTTAAAGTTGCCACGGCACAGGCGGTGTTTTCTCTTTCATCTGTGAATGGGACGTTTGGTTAGTGGATCATTGATTACCGGTATATGTACCAATCGAGGGCTAGAATTTAGTTTTTTAAGTTATCTTAAATTCTGTTTGTAACTCAAAATTACTAATAATAATTTAAAAAAAACGGTTTATAAATTTTTTTGTTTCATTGAAAAATAATTTGAAATCCACTCTTACTGTTAATATTAAAATTTTAGTAATTTCAATTGACATTATTAACTGTTTCTCTTTGCATTTTTGAATCATCAATAGCCAATACAATCAATACAAGATACCTGTTCTCCACGACCAACTGTACTAGGTGTACCACCTGGCACCAACTACCATATATATTCATCACAAAAATCTCGATACTCCAGTCCATAAGCATCCTTATATCAGCAGAGTGTATATTCCATACGAAACGAAATTTCGAAATAAGCCCCTGTGAATATACACAATAAAACCATCGTCGTATTCCCTCCTCGTTCCTAAAAGCCCACCAAAACGCAGAATGAGGCATAAAACGTTAATTGAATCGAGCACACGGGCTCTGCACGAGAAGCAATATTCTTCGCGACAATCGAGCAATAACAGCCAGGTCGTAACTTTTCCTCCTCCTCCTCGTAAGTATATATACACACACACACGGAGCATCCAGGAAAACGCACTCGGTCTTTTCAGCTTCTCAGGTTTTCTCACACGTCCCTACCATAACCTACCGATAAGACGTCCTCTCTCTCCCCCACCCCCTTTTTACCTTCTAACAAACGGCCCACGCGCTTACACAGGGATGAGCTCGCGCGTAACACAGCTTGAATTAGGGATCGCTCGCTCGCGACTGCACCGTTATATATATATATATATATATATATACACACCGCGACGAGCGGGATCGGCTATTACGGCTGCACGACACAATATACCATCATATTAGTAGGTATGTATATGCAAGGACAAAGGCACCGGGTGCTATTTGTACTAATTTGAAATTCAATTTCTCTCGTGAAAAGTAATGATGATGATCCATTGAGAGACGGTGCTTTTTCCCTGCCACCTGCTAATCCATTCGTTACACGTGCACGTAGGAGATCGTCAGCTTCGTGTGTACAAAAAGAATGATAATCGTTCGGGGGGCGCGTCTATACGGCAGCTCTCTCGTGAGAGACGGATATATTGTATGATTGAAAGGGTCGCTTGATTGCAGCTCAAAGGGCCCAAACAGGGTGCATCATCATTAGATCCTACCTCGGGACGATTCAATGCGAGAGAGCGCGGGATGGGTGGGAAAAATCGGTCGCGCGCGCCGTTATGATTTTTCAACACTTGGAGGACCTACATGTATATATGCATCCTCTCACTCGAGGGAGGGAGGAAGGGAGGCTTTTGCACACGTGTGCATTTTTTTACGGTTGGCGAGGGAGTCTGGGCATAAATCACGTACGCGAGAAAGAAAGAGAGAGAGAGAGCGCGTGTCCGTTAACAAATTACCGGCGTTCATAATAACAAGAGTTGATTCCCCCCCCCTCGTTTTCTCATGTCTCCTCTTACGTGCGAGGCTCCTCTCTACCCCTCTTCCCCACACCTTTTCTTTTGGCGTTGTATGTACAGGTACACGCGTTGCAGGTACCAGAGAGTTGCCTAGTGGGAGGGTATACACGAGGCTGACAATGAGAGCGATCTCTCATCGGGGGCCAAAACGATCGTAAGACAAGTAGTAGATGCACGGCCGCTTATCGCCTCGGTATGCAACCAACGCCGCGATATCCACGGACCGGCTTTTACCTTCTTTTTTTTTTTTCAGTCGGGTATACCTATTGGCTACTGTATATATAACCCGGGGCAGATAGGATCTCTTGACATTAGATGCAAGACGATGCGCCGTGTGTGTGTATGTGTACGTTGTATACGTGGTTGTATGCACAATGTGGATTTTCCTAAGGCGATCCTTGAGAGATCGCGGGGATCTCTTGTTCTCTCCTTTCGGATCTATCGCCGCTTCTTGGGTTGGGAGCTGTGGGTTTTTTTTTTTTTTTTTTTTTTTTNCGTCCTCTCTCTCCCCCACCCCCTTTTTACCTTCTAACAAACGGCCCACGCGCTTACACAGGGATGAGCTCGCGCGTAACACAGCTTGAATTAGGGATCGCTCGCTCGCGACTGCACCGTTATATATATATATATATATATATATACATACACACAAGTGTGTGTGTTTGATTCCGCGTTTCGTGCCTTTATACCTCTACACTGCACTATACGTTATACCCATAAAGGGAGGAGCGGGGAGGGGGGGGGGAGAAGTCATTTTCCACCGCACTACAAGTGGGTGCGATCCGAACGAGCGATTGTTTCCGACTGTGTAAATGTATACATACGCAGATAATATAAATGTGCACATGTATACCTTAGGCACGAGGCTACTCGGTGTCGTTAAGCCACGAAACGAATTGCCAAGAGGATTCTCGCGCCAATGTGCTTGTATGTATAAATAAATATATATACGGACGCATCTGAGGTCATCCGCACCGAATATTAGTCACCGCTACCTGTCGCGGTGTACCGGCGCGTGCATTAATTTTATGCCGCAGTTTGTTTTGGTTTCGCGTTTTGCCGTGATTCGTTGGTTATTCGAAAATTTAACCACGTATGGTGCAAAAATCCATGCTGCGCTAATCGAAACTTCGTGCTCGGGTGAGACAGTTCTGTCAGGGGTTTTGAAGGCTCGCGTCTCCTTTGGAGTAAAACCGAAAAGCGTGTCGCTCTGGAAGAGGTCGCCGGAGGGCGAGAAAACGACAGGCCGAGAGATGGAAAAAAATGGAAAAAAAAGACGTGCTTGTCATATATAATCTATACGTATAAAATGTTAGGTGCCATTGTGCTGGTCTGGAAACTTGGCCCCGAGGGCATTTGTTATTCATGGGATAGTATGAGAGCACGAAAAAAGGAGACAAGTGCCTGGGCTGTTGTTTCGCCACTAATTTCGACTCCCAAACGAGCCGCTGAAATTACAGGCGTTTAACCCAAAGGTGGTTGCGAAAAAAAGGATTACTCGCTCATTCAGCCTATTTCTCTCCTCCTGCAGACTTGAATACGTAATTGCGAATTTCGGTGCCAAGTACGATGCTTTTCGTTACGTAATAAATTGTTTTTTTTTTTTTTTTTTTTTTTGTTATCCTTCGTCTCTCTCGTCGCTTTTGGTGTCGAAGATTGTGTAGCGGCTGCACCCTTGTGGGTTTTTCTTTTTCCAACGCGATTACCTTGCACAGGAAAAAATCCTAACCACCCGTGCAGCGACTGTATGGAACGTACGGGAAAAAAAGCCCAGGTACTATATTTTACAATACCAAAGTAATTTCTTTGTACATTGTCATCTCAGCACTATAATACCAAAAATCATCTTTTTTAGTTTCGTCCAACTTATTGTTCCGTACGGAAGTAATGTTATTCACGAATCCTACAGTCACTCGTTCTTCTTCCTGATCTCGAATGCTATAATTCAGGTGGCACGGATTTTTGGTGCACGTGGTAATTTTTTCACCACAACCGAGTCCAACGAACCTTGAAAACCACATGAAACCGCGCTCTTGGCGAACAACAGCGCCATAACAATCAGACAGAATGACAGAACAGTAGCTCGCGCGATGTATAACATGCGAGCATACAACGCACATCTCCGACAAAGTCGGTGCACCGGCAAAGAGACGGAAAAAAAAAAAAAAAAATTTAATTAAATCACTCGAAGAAGCGGAGCAGGGAGCGCTCATCATCGCCAACGCCACAACAACGGTACTTACCCTCCTCGCTCGTCATAAAGCTATCCCCGACACAGTAGTATACTTGATGCATCTATATATATGTATATACAGTACAGAGTAGCGTAAGTACCTTAGACTCTCGCTTAGGATTCCAACTCTCCGACATGCCCCATACACATCGCGCCTTCCCGCGCATTCGTACAATCATGTACCTGTGTAATACATAAAGCATTTTGCGTGTATATGTACACAAGTACCCTTGTGCACAAAAAAAAATGTGAGGGGGGGCTGGGGAGGGGAGAAGAGAGTTAGAGGAATGATTCTCGCCAGCGGACAAAAAGATTACGCTCGGTCGGGTTGGCCGGGCCGTTAATACGGTTACGCATTATCTAGATTACCGGGCCCGCGGCTTCCGAGTTCGAAAAGAGGGGTACAGGTATATATACGTACGTGGGGTACAACGGCAACACGAGAGCGTCGGCGTAATTAATCAGGGACAATCAAACTCGGGCTGGGAGCTGAGCACCGCACCGACTCCCAACGCTGAATGTGTCTTGCTCGTGTGCACAGCCAACCTCTCTCTCTCTTTTTCCCTTTGCTTCCCTCATAGGTGTTCTCTCTTTCTCTGATGCACCTCTTCTCACTCTATATATACATGTGTATGCACTTGTAGGCATCGTCTTCCTTACTGCGCGAGTGTATTCCTTCCGAGATTAGTTTTTGTACATATATACGTTATGTATAGCACATTGCAAATAGAACCCGTACACCAATGGCTTTGTGAATCAGAGCTATACTTTCGGATAACCTGTTCGCATCAAGTAGGTATAGGGAATCTATATACTATAGACAGTGTGTAAATATATATATATCGCGTGTTACTGAACAAGCCGCGTCGAATAACGTCAAACGAGGGAAAAACCAATGCAAAAGAGCTATACTTATACGAGAGGTCAAAAAATCGTGTCTTGACGTTGTCCGGAGCGATGAATTTAACGAAACATAAAAGGAATCTCAGCAAGATGTGGAACTCGTATGGACCAATAAACAGGTGGAAATTACAGGCTACAGCCAAACCTTAAAACAAGTCCCAAGAAACCCTTGCTACCAAACAATGGGCCTGCGTACAGAGCCCACACGTACCGTAATATATAATGGAACAACACGTATTGTGCGGCCGTTCGATTTATTAAGCGACGAATCACGCCCGATGATTTCGCGTATCGCATCAATTAGCAGCCGCTTTAAATATATCGACAGAGGCCGTCAGGGGGAGCTCCCGCGTGCGGATAAAGAGGATGCGTGCATGGGAAATCTGCCCACGTCATCGCGCATTTGCGCACTTGCTCGCCCGAGAAGGAAAACGTATTGTGTGTTGGCGCGCGCGATGGGTCTTTGTGCTGTTCGTTTCCGCGATTGGATGCCTCGGTTTTTTTTTTTTTTTTTTCGCTTACGCAGTTTATACAGTGGGTTAAATTGGCATCAGGGTAACGAATGGACACACGAGCTTGATGGCTCCATTAGCGCCTTATTAACCCGGACCGCGAACTGGCGCACGCGTGCAATGCCGAGAGATGCACGGCCAAGATATACACAAGCTGGATTTCGTTTGGCACTTTGCGTGCCCGCAGGGGGAGGGATCGAAAAACAAGAACGACTGGGCGGATGGACTTGATCTTAAAATCGAAAGGAGCTGTTTGAGGAATTTATACAAAATCGATGGCATTCTGTTAAACTTTTTTCTTCTTTTGCGTCGCTGTAAACGAGGGGAGTTTGTACAAAATCGACTCGTCATATCGGATCACCGCCCATAATGGATGAGCTCGGCAGTGCGCGTCGCGAAGCGCGTTTCAATAAACCCGCCCGATCATCGGCCGTAAGTGCGGCAAAAAGCGCTCGAAGGTGAAAAAAAAAAAAAAAAAAAAAGAAGCGAATCATCGAGCAGGCGGAGGGAAAAACGCATAATTCGATAAACGAGCCTGCGCGTCGATCGGCAAAATTGTCACGAATGGAAAAAAAATTCTACCCTATGCATGTACAGGTGCGTATATTTATACGTGGACGTCCAATCTCTTTTTCACGTTGCATCATCAAGAAACGTGATCAAAGCTTTTGTAAGTATACTACCTATCCGTCAAAAATGGCACGTAAACGTATAGATACGGTTTTACGGTGAAAAAGAGTTTCTGATCAAGTAACTCCGAATACAATTTTTTTTTTCACCGTCAAACGTGTACGTGGACACTCCTATTTCAATACATTGAAAGTAAATATAAATGGCGTAGCCGCGCATACCGAGAGCAAAGCGTCCATTGAACCTTAGCGTCGGCAAATGCAAATGTCCCGCGCGCAAAGAAAGAAAGAGGAGGAGGAAAGCGTCCGCGAAAATCCACAGGCGGCGTCTCTCTAGTGCGTGACGGCGCAATGTCCCCTTGATAAATTAGCTCGGCGCAGGAGGGAGACGCCAGTCCCCCATTCACCTCGGACCCTATGGTAATTAACGCCCGTCTATATTCACCGCACAATGGCCCACGTAATCGGGCGATTAATTTTCATCCCTCGGCTCATTAGTCGCTTCGAGTCGCCATATCTGGCCATATATGGGTGACGATTGTACATAACACAAGTCGAGGTGTATACCCATGTGGATCGGGGCTATGCGAGATATATTATATATCCATATTATATATAGGAGGCAGGACCAATTTTACAGCCAGTGTGTATGACGCAACAAATTGAGCGTCCCGACAAGCACCGGAACGTCACTCAAAAATTACAACAGAGCCTATATGTATGTATATAGACATCTGAGGCACCCCGGGGGGGAGGCTAGCGAAATTTCTCGTTGCCCAACGACAAAATTGATTGCCCCTTGCGCATTAGAGCGACGTTAAAGAGCTCTGTATATGTGTAACGAGTATAGGACGCGCGAAAAATACCCCGTCGCCTGATTTTCCTCGCGCTCTCCGTCGGGCCTCGCTTTTGACGCTCATTAGGTAATGTAATCGGCCGATTTGATCGCCACCGCGAATGCATTCATAAACGGATGATTTGTGGTGCTCCTTTTTTTTTGTTGCCTTCCCGGGGGGAGACATTAACGCGCGGTATTGCGAGGCATTATTTTTAATCTCGATGAGAGGGGGGAGGGTATGGAGAAAGCGTTCAAAGTATTTTTTTTTTCTCAATATTTCGTAAACGCGCGACTCGCGTGCGAAAATGATATGCAGGCGCGCGTGCAGAAGCCAAGGGGGGGAGAAGAAAAAAAAAAGAAAGAAAGAAAACGGTCGCATAATTAACCCATAAAACCAGCGCGCTTGTATACCCCGCAATATCCGGGGGGGCCAGATCGGGCCACCCTTTTACTTTTATACGGAAAGCTCTTAGGGCGCAATAAAGTGGCGATATCTCTCGCCTCGTAATACCGCCGCTGCTGATCTCTCCTCCGCTCATATACCTCGCGGGTAAAACCGTGGGATGGGCTGCTGCCGTGCAGAAGAGTCCGAAGCGAGAGATATCGGTGGCAGGCCATCGCAGCAGCCCAGGGGCCCTTTCGAGTTATGGCCCGATTTTTGCGACTCTCCGGTTCGTAGGTATACGTATATACACTTCTCGGTGGGCCAGCAGCTTCATTTTTTTTACGACGCGGAACTCTGCCTACCTCCTTCCTTCCCTCGTCTCCTCTGATTTTTCGAACCCGTGTACTTTATTAGCTTAGATATGGCCGTGATATACGACTGCTTTCTTTTTCCTCTCTTTCTCTCTCTCTCTCTCTCTTGTTCTTTGGTGTGCACAGAATGACTCGCGTAATTTGTTTTTAAATTTTCGATGCCCCCCCCCCCTTATCTACAGGCATATAATACCCGATGTATCGGCGAGGCGTGTAATTTCAGGCCACGGTGGTATAAATATAGACGCAAAGGTGCGAGAGAGTTGTCAAAATTAAGTTTTAAATTACAAGCCGTGAAGGAAAGTATTTTTTTTCAGTCTCGCGGCCCGTCAACCACGTACAAGTATACTCAATAAAGTTGGACGGTTAGTATCGAAAGCACAGCCGTTACAATGCATCCATTATATCCTTCTCTCGCAGCTATACGGTGTACATAGAAAGTATCGACCAAATCACTTCGTATCATTCAAATCATGCGCAAACAGCAAAACAATCAAGGCTCGATAAAACTGGCGGGGCTCTCCCAACTTGAAACAATAATATTCCTCTCTCGGCGCGCATTGTTCCCTCGAAAGAGAGGAAAGAAAAAAAAAAAAAAAAAAAAAAACGAAAGCCGGAAGTCTCATGGGCGCCGCTGCTGCCGGCTCGCAAAAAAAGCTCCGTGCGAACCTGCGCTACATACGTATACAGGTAAATTGCACTGCTACTACACAATATATATTATGGGTGTGTGTAGTGCGTGTGTGCGTACAGTGCCAGGGACTTGAGGATTGAACAAACTGACGTAGTGTACAAATAATACGTGTGTGTGTGTGTATACAGTTGGGAGTGTTGGACTGTTGGTGCTATGGTGCTGCTCTTTTATCTTCGTTAGAGGTGTATTCATGATTTTACGGGATTATCATTGTTATTGTTTTCCGAGAGAACAAGTATCTACTTAGGGATAATAAGTACGCGTAGGTGTATATTGATTACCGATGAATTGGGATGGTATACTATGTATGCTTATTTACTTTTAGGGAAATACATTTTCTTTTGTACTAGAAACACTTGATGCTTCATGTTTTCGAGGAAGAAGAAACAATTATTAAGCGAGTGGCTATTCAGTTCTAAAAAAAAATTATTAGCATCTCTCTTTCGTTTGTAAAATCTCATGATATCAACTGAACTTTATTTTTAAAAAGAAAGTATTGATTTAATAGTTATTTAAATGTCAAATAGTATGAACGCACCGGTCATGATAAATAATTTTAATGTTATGGTCAATGAAATCATTTTAAAATTATTGTAAAATCTAAAATCATTTTTTTTGTCTCTTATGTGAACTTGCTGTATTACATTGAACGTACACTGTGTAGTTAAAAAATTTTTAACGCGTTAACGCGACGCAGCAAAAACAAAAACTAGAAATAACAACCAGTTCCCAAGCAAAGTAAATTACACCCGTGCAGGTGAATTCTATACTTATCAGAGTATCGCTTGCATTGTTTCTCAATCACAATACGTGTTGCATAGTATACGGAAAAATGAAAAAAAAAAAAAATATATATATAACAAAAATATATAACGTACAAGTTAAACGCAAACTAACCTGTGGACACGCAGATGGAGGGCGGGAGCGGCTGCGTCGGCGGTGTCGTCCTCGTGCTCGTCGTCGTGGGCGTCGCCGTGGAGGCAGGGGAGGATGGTTTGCGCGCCGCTGCCGCCGCGGCGACCGCTATCAGCGCTGCCGGATTATAGCGCGGCACCTGCAGCACCACGGGCGTCTTCACCGACAGGTCCACTGGCTCGAGTTGCACCGGCGGCCCTGCCGCCTGAAATTACATCCGACAATGGCCGATTAGTATAATTGCATTTTTTTACTTCAATGGAAAAACTTGTTTGAGAGAAAAATCCAGTGCTTAAACAATTTTTATGTTTGTTTTATACACATTAGTAAGTAGGAACAAATTTGTGTCAAACTCGGACAAACGAGCAAAATATCATAACACAGATGTTCACCCATAACTGAGCCTCAGCTGTTATAACAAGCTTTACTCTCGATATAGTCGATGGTGATGGACAAAAGTGGGGCAAATGTGTATGCAAAAATGTCCCGTCCTCTGTGGATATTTGCAAACCTCTGTATAGGCGAGCGCGCCGTGAAAAAGGGGGGAGAAATTACGTGGTAATGGATGCTGCACGGTCGTCACGCGAAAGATTCGATATTTATCATCGGGGCTTGAGTTTATTTTTTAAAGTTGCCACGGCACAGGCGGTGTTTTCTCTTTCATCTGTGAATGGGACGTTTGGTTAGTGGATCATTGATTACCGGTATATGTACCAATCGAGGGCTAGAATTTAGTTTTTTAAGTTATCTTAAATTCTGTTTGTAACTCAAAATTACTAATAATAATTTAAAAAAAACGGTTTATAAATTTTTTTGTTTCATTGAAAAATAATTTGAAATCCACTCTTACTGTTAATATTAAAATTTTAGTAATTTCAATTGACATTATTAACTGTTTCTCTTTGCATTTTTGAATCATCAATAGCCAATACAATCAATACAAGATACCTGTTCTCCACGACCAACTGTACTAGGTGTACCACCTGGCACCAACTACCATATATATTCATCACAAAAATCTCGATACTCCAGTCCATAAGCATCCTTATATCAGCAGAGTGTATATTCCATACGAAACGAAATTTCGAAATAAGCCCCTGTGAATATACACAATAAAACCATCGTCGTATTCCCTCCTCGTTCCTAAAAGCCCACCAAAACGCAGAATGAGGCATAAAACGTTAATTGAATCGAGCACACGGGCTCTGCACGAGAAGCAATATTCTTCGCGACAATCGAGCAATAACAGCCAGGTCGTAACTTTTCCTCCTCCTCCTCGTAAGTATATATACACACACACACGGAGCATCCAGGAAAACGCACTCGGTCTTTTCAGCTTCTCAGGTTTTCTCACACGTCCCTACCATAACCTACCGATAAGACGTCCTCTCTCTCCCCCACCCCCTTTTTACCTTCTAACAAACGGCCCACGCGCTTACACAGGGATGAGCTCGCGCGTAACACAGCTTGAATTAGGGATCGCTCGCTCGCGACTGCACCGTTATATATATATATATATATATATATACATACACACAAGTGTGTGTGTTTGATTCCGCGTTTCGTGCCTTTATACCTCTACACTGCACTATACGTTATACCCATAAAGGGAGGAGCGGGGAGGGGGGGGGGAGAAGTCATTTTCCACCGCACTACAAGTGGGTGCGATCCGAACGAGCGATTGTTTCCGACTGTGTAAATGTATACATACGCAGATAATATAAATGTGCACATGTATACCTTAGGCACGAGGCTACTCGGTGTCGTTAAGCCACGAAACGAATTGCCAAGAGGATTCTCGCGCCAATGTGCTTGTATGTATAAATAAATATATATACGGACGCATCTGAGGTCATCCGCACCGAATATTAGTCACCGCTACCTGTCGCGGTGTACCGGCGCGTGCATTAATTTTATGCCGCAGTTTGTTTTGGTTTCGCGTTTTGCCGTGATTCGTTGGTTATTCGAAAATTTAACCACGTATGGTGCAAAAATCCATGCTGCGCTAATCGAAACTTCGTGCTCGGGTGAGACAGTTCTGTCAGGGGTTTTGAAGGCTCGCGTCTCCTTTGGAGTAAAACCGAAAAGCGTGTCGCTCTGGAAGAGGTCGCCGGAGGGCGAGAAAACGACAGGCCGAGAGATGGAAAAAAATGGAAAAAAAAGACGTGCTTGTCATATATAATCTATACGTATAAAATGTTAGGTGCCATTGTGCTGGTCTGGAAACTTGGCCCCGAGGGCATTTGTTATTCATGGGATAGTATGAGAGCACGAAAAAAGGAGACAAGTGCCTGGGCTGTTGTTTCGCCACTAATTTCGACTCCCAAACGAGCCGCTGAAATTACAGGCGTTTAACCCAAAGGTGGTTGCGAAAAAAAGGATTACTCGCTCATTCAGCCTATTTCTCTCCTCCTGCAGACTTGAATACGTAATTGCGAATTTCGGTGCCAAGTACGATGCTTTTCGTTACGTAATAAATTGTTTTTTTTTTTTTTTTTTTTTTTTTTTTTTTTTTTTTTTTCTCAAGTGAGAGGATTTATACGAGATTGTCGCAACTCGAAAAAGTAGAGTCGCTAACACTTGTGTTATTGAGTCCAACCGAGTCTTGGGACAAGTATTCCCGAGAAGTTCTCCAAACAGCTGTTAGGTACTAGAGTAAAACGAATAAAGTAGGGTATACATATACCTTATTCTTGCACTCGTGAATTTGCAAATTGCTGTACCTGGGTGTCCGTGTCGAGCAGAACAAATCGTGTCAACGTGAAAGACCGCCCCCAGCGGGTTTTTTTTTTTTTTTTTTTTTTTCAGGGAAAATATGATGAAAGAGATCGCCACTACAACGTGGCAACAACTTGGTACCTCTATTGGCCATGCAGAGGTATCAAGCATTTACCCAAAGTAAAAAGGTTAAGAAACAACATGTTGGACGTTTAGAGTAGAAGACTGACACTGAGTGTCACTTTAACAAGTCATCGTATATGCAAATGTAAAAATGAAATATAAATATGGTTTATTACTGAGCCGTTATTTGGCGCACCTACTCCTAAATTTATGAATTATGTTTTGAAACAGCTGATGATAAATAAAAAATGTGTAAAAAATTTCAAGAAAAAACGTATTCGTTGTATGTTAGGGATATTGCAAAGTACAATTGTACATTTCGTATACTTTTATTGTATAATAAGTCAAGTCAAATACAGCAAATGTGTGTGAAACGAATGATAAAAATAAAAATATCGTCAGAAAAAGCGATGGCTCTTGAAAAACGCATTTATATACAGAACAAAGTAAAACTTGAAACCCCAAAGCGATGACGTTTCAAACGCACAGAGGATTGAGACTCTGAAAAATGGCCTTCTTTTGACAAAGGAGCGAAGAAAACGAAAGCACGCTCATCTTACTCAACAACAAAAAAAAAAAAAAAAAAAAAAAAAAAAACCTTTTCAAACAAAAGACGTATAAAGTTATCGCTTGCGAAACAAAAGCAGTCCTATTACGAGTAACGGTACTTGCACCACACCTCCTCTGGCGAGCCAAAAACCGAGGAGGGAAGTTACGAGGAGGCGGAGGAGGCACATCTTTCTCTCCCCCAGCCCTCACTTTCTCCCATCTTCCCTTCGCACATTGTACGCTTTAACGAGAGTTTAAGTCCCCTCTTCGATTGGCGTCATAAAAAATCGGCGGCAATTGAGCTGTCGTATACGCGCACAGAAAAAAAAAAAAAAAAAAAAAAAAAAAAAAAAAAGGTATAAGAAACGAGAGAGGAAATCCACGCCCGAAGTTTCTCTCGGCGCGTCCGTCTGTGACAGGCAGCCACTTTGAAGAAGAAGTGCGGAACGGCACTTTTTAAGTGCACCGCGAGCGCCGAGGACTTTCGGACAGAGTTATACTTGCTCGCTCGCAGGTATTTTAATTAGGACTTTAAAGACGGAAAAGAGGGGTCGCCGCCACTGGGAGAGCATTCGCTGGAATTCGAGCTTGTCAACTTTTAGATCTTCCTCTTTTCTCCTCTCGGGCCGTATAAAGTTGCCTGTGTCCGTTTCTCGTTGCACTGTCCCCGTCTGACGTATTTTAATAAGTGCAAACGGTATAATTTCGCGCGTCGCACGCTGATCGCAAGGGTAAATGTATGGACCTATGGCTTCTTTTTTTGTACAATTTTTGTTTTTTTGTTTTTCTTTTTCCTCTTTCTTCCAAATGGGTTAATAATTCCCAGAGTGACTTTACGCATGCACACGAGCTCGATATATTGAGCCGTAAAATGAAAATGATATACTTTCGAGCGTGTGAACCGAGACGGTCCTTCGTTTCGCTCGTAAAAGCGGCTAAAGATGTCGTAAATATTAAAAATGAAGCCATACATACACGCGTACCGCTTATTCAGGTATCGGAGGCGATCGTTTCGTGGATCGGACAGGTACAAAGGCGGATCGCTCGGGGCGATGAAAAGGTGGAGCGAATCGACGTCCGGCGCATTAATTTTGCGTGCGCGCGCCGCCCCGATTGCTCTGCTCGATGACGATTCGGCGATTGAAGTTTACGACAGTCGGAGATCGTAAGGATTCAACAGCGCGAGTACGAATCCAATACGACTTTTAAAGATCGATCAATTTAATTGTGACGAAACAAATCGGCAATAAGACAGATGGATGTAATTTTTATTTATTAAGTTTATGTTATAAAATTGCAATTTGCAGACTCACTTATAAAATGTTTTATCGTATCGCACACGCGTTGATAAATATATATTATAATGGCCAAATCAAAGATGTATCATAATTTATATAAAATAGGATGTCATCATTTTTAAAATAAACACTGCCCAATATGCCTATCTATATATCAGTCATTCATTATAATCTTGATAAAAGCACATTTCACATTTCTAAACAAGTAGAACTGTGTATGGTAATTCTTTTTTAAAAACGCTGTTCTCTGCGATATATTTTTTAAATCTTTGGGCAAAAATACTCTATTATCGACTGTGCAAAATAATTATTTTTCAAAGCGTTTGAAAATCAATGGAATGTTCGTGTCCACCTCCAAATATACCCTGCACATTGAAATGACACGCTTTGCATAGACTACAGGACACCACTAAAAATCCACCCTTTCATTCATTTCACACGTCTGACGCGTCCCGTCTGTTTCTACTGATCTCACGTTCGTATCCCATACAAAATACAAAATTGGACGCACATAAAAAATCACCTAAACGTAACATGGTGCCACATATATAAATGTAATAGCTCGAAATTACACAGCTGCGAACAAGCTAGCCTGAAAACCCCTTTGGCCGTGCTCGAACGACAAAGAGGTTAATCCTCCGGCGCGAGAAAGATAGATCATTGAGAACGAGAGCCTGGCTGACAAATTGAGCGCGACGCGCTATACGATGATAAAAGAAGCCATAGCACCGGCGAAAGCGAGAAAAAGAAGAAAAAAAAATCCCAGCCTCTCTGCGCTCGAAAAGATAGATGTCATCGCGCGTCGCACGTATTACACACCTCTCTGTCCAGCACACGCGCGTGTGTAACGAGCTCACAGCTTTCGCGACCGATTATTAGCGTCGTAAGTTATGTCGCGCTATTAGCGTAATTGTCTTTATTGGAATACGAATGGGAGGGGGCCCGTGCACGCGTGACGCTGGTATTAACGAGGCCCATGCGTATATATGCCGTACGCGTCATCATTAACCCTCACTTCTCCTTTGCTTGCACTGCGCACGCTACTTTGGCTATTTGTCTACATGTTGGAGGGGGGGGAGAAAAAGTACGTGCTCGCACGCGTTTCTCCCGTAGAACAAGCGGATCCTGGACCGAAAGAGTAATGGCCGAGCTGCGCTGGTATTGTTTCGAAAGGAGCGTGATCTCTGAATTATTGAAAAAAAGAAAAATCATCGGCCTCTCATTACTTGCATTCTGCGCTGCAATTTGTGATTTCCAGCGAAAAAAAAAAAAAAAAAACGTACGTTTTCCGCAAAGATGATTACTAACCACAATTATTTCCAGCGAAAAAAAAAAATTAAAGTTTTGAAGCTGTAAATATCTATAGATATAAAAGTGCATTCCTATCACCTTCTATTTTAAGCAGCAACCAATTTTTCTCAGTCTTAGTAATTTTTATAACTTGCAATAAATATAAAATTAGTAACAAAGGGTTGAACTTAAAATACTAAAACCTTAATACCTCACATAGATGAAGATAGGATTCTTTTTTTTTTTTTTTTTTTTCTCTCTCTTTTTTTTTTTTTTTTTTTTTTTTTTTTTTTTTGCGCTTGGACGAGAATGCTAGACCGGCGGAAGGGAAAAAAAAGAGGAATGGTTTTTTTAATTATAAATGCGCAACGAAATTGAGGCGAAGCTATGCTGACAAAGTATTTTTTTCAGGTATACTTGCGAAGAAATTGAATACAGACTTTGGCACAAGGATTTCATAGATTTTTTTTTTTTTTCAATAATTTTGTCCAGCGAAAAATAAGGCAACACACATTTGTAAAGAATAAAGTTCTTTCAAGGTATTTTATACACTTGTATTTCAAGTCTAACATTTTTGCAAATTACTTTATGTTTCCGATATAAAGCCATTCAAAGGCCCCTTTGTTTATTAACAAAAAAATAATACTCGGTGAAATTATTATGCAGGGGTTATACGTGTGAAATTACGGTGTCACTCGGAGGCATCTCCGAAGGATAATGAAGGAATGCCTTGACGACGGAGCACGTTTGTCGGGAGACGCCGAATACGATGTGTGCCTATTACAATTGTCGCTAGGGGCACTTCAAAATCATTCATTAAGCCTCCCAGTCGTGAATTAGCGTAAGAATTTTTTTTTTCTTCACTTTTTTTTTAACATCATAATGAGATTTTTTACGTTGTGCCGCGCTAATGAACGCCCCTGACGCACTTGCAAATTATCTTGTTCTATCAATGTGATTATCTTCAGCGGCGACGATGAAATATCGTTCCGATACTATTGAATTGTAAAATAAATACCGTTCGCCTCTTGATTAGATTTGTAAAACCACAGTTGGACACACCAAATTCATCTTCATTGGATCCTGAATACCGATACTATACACCATGGCGTACCAACAGGAAGTTCGGTCCATCAAAAAATCAACAGCTCCCTAATTAACATCCAATCACTCACCATACATCTCGAAAACACCACCTTTTTATAGACCCAGATGTATAATTACAATCATGTTTTTTTTTTTTTTTTTTTTTTCACTCCCTTGTCACAGCCACGTGCATACCCTTCAAAGTCATGTAAACACGACACGCGTAAGCAAACATCATCTCAAGAGAGACGAAAAAGAGGCGTCGACCCTACAATATTTAATACATTACACACGTGCACAGCAGCCACGTATATATGCCCGCGAGAGAGAACGGCACTGTGCGGTAATAACGCGAGGTGTCGAAATGCCTCGTGTCATGTGTACGTATATGTATGTACCGGCCGGCGTGTAAAACGCGCCGAGCTCGCCTTAATTTAATTTCGCGTCTCAAACTGGGGGCCCCGTCGGGCAATTTCGTCCACCGCACAAGGTAGGGGACAAGGAAAGGATGGGCGACGCGCGATTATAAAAATTATTCCGAGACGTCGACGAGAGAAGTGTAATTTGGCTTTCAAAATATTTTCGGATGCCTCGTACATAAGTGTATACCTACATACATCGTATATAGCCGGTAAACCAATCGAGGTCGCCTGCCCGCGTCGATACCTATACGTGACGCGCAGAATTTTCCAGACGCGCCAAATAGGAGCAACTGCAAGGATAGACCGACGGAAGTCGGGGCTAAACGGGCAAACAATCCCGGAACTCGGCGTTTTTCGCGGCGTCTCTTTCCTCCTCGGTCCGTTTCCTCCCCAGCCGTTGTTCGTGCATGCCATGCGCGATCCGTGCAATTAGAGCGTCGCAGAACTGTTCATTACCCCCCAACCCCCCCGGAGTAATTTTCCCTCCCTGGGAATTAACCATCCTCCTTCTCCCCTCCTCCGCTTTTATGTATATATACCTCAGACGTCCCTTTGGTGGTTTGGGAGACCGCTTTTTCGGAAAGCAAAAAACTTGGATGATCGGGCCCGATGATACCATCAGGGCCTGATTGCACTTTAATTGCGCATATATTACAAATACACCTATATGTATAAGCTCCTCTGGCCATCAGCCAAAAATTAATTATTAAAAAGAAGAAGAAGAAGAGGATGAGCCATCGATCATTTCGAGCTCGGAGAGAATTCCCGGTTGTCCGCCTCGAACGAAGCTCTTCCGCCGGGCGTGTGTGTGTGTGTATAGCCGCGCACACGAGTATAAACCGATCGGACAGGAGCTTCCGGCGCCTCCCCCACCGCAGCGCGGCCTTTTTTAATTGAGCTCCTCTCGACCTGACGCTCGGGCGCGTCTGTGTGTATCTTTCCGCTCGATCTTTGCTATCGAGATGGCAATGACCTGCTGACCCTCGCTAAGGAGAAACGGAGGGAACTCCCGACGACCAAAGGGGTCTTTTAACTTTTAACGACCGACCCACCGCGTTGCCTTGCCGATACCTATATATACATATATACGCCTCTCCGGACACTCCCTTTTATTTCCTCCCCCACCACCTCGCGTGCGTGTGGAAGGTCCGCTTCTGCTGGAGCTTTTCATCTCTCGAATATATCTACGAGGGCCCGGCTGGAATGGGAAAATCTCGTCTCGACAAATGTATACGTATACTCTTCATATGACAAAACTGTTTTTTTTTTTTTTTTTTTTTTTTTTTTATAATTTACCAGCCTCATTTACTTGTATCGCCTTCGATGTTTGCACTAGTGGTTACGCGCCAATAAGAAGCACCTAGCGCCGTAGTGATCTCTCATCCGCGTCGGCCACTCTGATCGGTCGATTGGGGTGTATGCACATCGGACGTTCCCGTGTACGGTTGATCGGGAGCACGCGCTCGGCTGATGGGCTTTGTTCGGGCGATCGTTTTACTTATCCATCTCTTTTGTTGCTTTCCCATAAAGGACTGGCCTACCGTTGGACCACCGCAGGAAGAAAAAAGCGTTGGGGATGGGTACATTTGGAAATCGTGTGTTTTGGTTTGGATTTTTACTTTAAATTAAAAAAATTTTCCTTTTTTTCGAAAAATTCGTTGATACCGACCTTTTTTACATTCTGATGATTAAATCTTTTAAATCGCAACCTAAAATCTATGGTTGATTGTTTTAGTAAAATAAAATGGAAAAAAAAGAATATATATACATATATGTTATTTATTAATTTTTTTGCTAAACACTACCTATTAATGCAATAACTGTAAAACTACAAAAAGTTTAAATTGTGATTAACAAATTAATTATTAATAAACAAGTTGATGACCTAATCATAAAGAATAACACAATAATTAACAACAATTTAAAAAATCTTAAAAATCGCAGCAAAAGTTGAAGAAATTGTTTTACAAGTACGAATCATAAATAAATAAAAAAAAGTCGATTTCAGTTCGTATTTGCCGCCAGAAGTGAACAAACCTACCGCTCGGCTCGACAACGGAAAAACGGAACAGACCTACTGCGCTTGCTGCTGCTGGCCCCCCTCGTACCCTGCTCCCCGCCAGCCGACGCTCGATGCATACGTTCGCATCCGAGAAGACACCGCAATCGATATCGTTGTCGCGCTAAAAGTGTCGTATTTTTAATTTTAAGCATCATTATCGTTCCCCCAAGTCCCACATCAAACAGCTCTTCAACATGCTGATCAAAGTCAAGGTAAGCCGCATCATTGGGCTTGATAAATTTATCGTTGATAATGTGCTGAAGTGAAACACACGAGGTGACTGACGTGCTTGTATTTTCGTTATTTTTCAGACCCTGACCGGTAAGGAGGTGAGTCCCCTAACCTAGCACGTAAACAAACCGACGGATACTGATGGTTTAAGGTCGTTTGTTGGTTTTTTGATTAATATTTGCCGTTGGGTGGATAAGTGCAAACGTAGATTCGTTGCGGAAGAGAGCGCGGGACCTAACCTCAATGGCAGTGACATGCATTTTGTGCCTACAGTATATTGTTTGTAGTGAATCAGTTGCCCAGTGAAGTGTCACTGTTGTGCTATTATCAATGAGTAGATTGTTTATTAACGTCGTTGATGCTTCTATAAATACCCAGTGCACACAGTGAGGCGTAGCAAACATGATTATTATTTGCATACACCTCCAGAGTTGCTTAATACTGTGAAGTGTGTTCAAGTTTAATTTTTACCACTGTAGTTTATTTCGATTCCATCACAATGTGTAGTGCCTGTGATTAACTATTTATTTAATTTATGGCATTCTACACTAATAATTTAATAACTTCATTTTGCACGATACATCAGAGTGAATCTCTTTTCTGAATCAAACAACCAACAAACATTTTTTTTTCTTTAACAATACAGTTACTTTAAATTATCTTTTAAACAGATTGAAATTGATATCGAGCCTACGGATAAAGTGGAAAGAATCAAAGAAAGAGTGGAAGAAAAGGAAGGCATTCCCCCACAACAACAAAGACTGATTTTCTCAGGAAAACAAATGTAAATAATTTAATAGTCAATACAGTGTTTGTTCTTAAATTAGTTAGCAAACTAAAACGAAGTAATATTTTAGGAATGACGAGAAAACTGCACAAGACTATAAAGTACAGGGAGGTTCTGTTTTGCATTTAGTGCTTGCGCTGCGTGGAGGTCTGTGAAGTATTCCTAATCAACATGATGAAGCCTGTTCTTACAAAGATGACATTGCTACGATAAATTAATTTGTTTTATAAAATTTAGGCTTTGTAAATATAAGATGTTACTGATTAAGGATTAAAAAGTAATTTAAAACACAACAATCGATAAATACAGTCTTTTTAACTCTAAGCAAATAAAGATGAATAAGTGATAAATAAATACTTGTTTTTATCATGTACTAGGTACGTCTTTGTTTAATACAACCTCCCTTATCTTTAAAATATTTTGTCTTGCACCTAAAAATTGAGGGAGGAAGATGTACAAGCAAAACAAATAACTTTCTACTGCTTCCAATAAACCTAAAAGCTCAAACATTCCAAAAATCTTCCAAACACGTAAATAGAAATCCCAACAACTGTTCACTTGTACATACAAACAGCTCAAATTTTTCCATTCCAACTCCGAGCAAATGCATTTTATGCAAAACTACTCGTTATATGCAGTACGTAAATCACACTCCCAAAGAAGAAAAAAACTAACAGTCTACTAAAGGATGCTTGCAGAACGCATAGAAAGCAGTACCAGAGGTTTTCACGAGCCAAGCGAGCATCTTGGGATTTCAGTTTGTGGTGCACAGATTTACGACGAGGCAGAGTAAACTAGTAAGTACTTAGACAAACTGCCGAGGCCTCAAGAAAATTGAAATCCACCCCAAAAAAATGTTAGTAGTTTTTATTTTTTTTTTTTTTTTCCTGCCTTCCCAAAAAACAAGGAACTAAAATAGTTCCGAGTCAAAAATTGAACTGGACAATGCCGGATAATCAAACAGCGTAGCAGCCACCGCAATTATAAGTAAATCAATTGTAATTTCAGACGCCGTACGCACATAATACAAGAAAGTCACTGCATCACCCGACAGCGCATGCAAAAAAAGATAGACGCCGCGAGCGCCGACATTGTACAATAATACAGGAAAGGGGGAAGGAGGGGCAATTTTCTTGTCATTTTCGCGCCCGAGATCGGATGTCTCTCCCTGTGCTCGGCGTCTCGATCGGTCGGAAATCCATTTGATAAATGACCGATGCGAGGATGATGTACTTTTAGACAATACTTTTTTTTTGTTATTTTCACAGACCTGGCATACGCATGGTGTTTCTTGTACGAAAAAATAATCAAAACGAGGATGAGATGAATGAAAAAAAAAAAAAATAATAAATAACTAGCGCGCTCGGGTTAAGCTTATCTCCGTCCACCAGATGTTCTATAATAGTTGGGTAAGTAGGTATATCAGGTGCGCAAGAGCTAAACTGACTCGGCGGATTTTGCAGTTTCCTTACAATACTTATATGGAAGTCGACTTGGGGAGGTGAAAATGTAAAGCTCATTTTACGCCGCTCGTAAGAGCTTTTTTTCCGACCTTGTCTACTATATATTGGTTTTTCCCGCAAAATGAAATGGCCTTTGGATGTTATTTATTACGGGTTGGGTAACTCTTTGGCTTTTGTCCCAATTTATGAATTTCGCTCGTCTTATTAAGAGGAAAAAAAACATTTGTTTTTTTTCCAAACAGTAATGAAAGTAATACGATTAAGATCTTGCGACATGAAAATTTTACGACGAAAGCTCTTTCGTGTAACAAATACCTAAGTTTGTGCATAAAAAAAAAAACGTGGGTATACCTATAAAGTCGTGCATCCAATAGTTTGGCGTATAAATCTTTGTAGATGCAATAAATGCGTGGAAATTTTACAAGCAGCTGTTATCCACCAATTTTTTCCATTGAGTCAAAATCTCAGCTGATCCTAAACTCCCAGCTACAGATGACGCATGTGCACATACATTTACACGCGCACACACGCTCACTCCCGACTAATCAAATGCAGAGCACGCGCTTTCTTCTCTCTCTCCGCGCGTGCATACCATAATATTGCTACAAGTGGTATCCTTTCACCTTATTATCTTCGCCGCGGTCGCTTACGTAAATTCCGCGATTTTTCGGTCCACGTGTACAGGCCCTACATAATATATACACGTCTTGCAAGTACGTGCTTACCAACCTGTTTTGCCTGCATTGCATTATATTTACAGTGCTGTACAGGTATAATAGCTCGAAAAAGTTGCTGCACTGCCCAGATGACGGAAATACTTTTGTCACACCTCCGCATCTTTTTCTCTGCGGTCGATCGAGAAGCGCTTCGTACATGTACCTATACTAATAGATTTTATTTCACGGGTAGCTTGTCCCTTGGCCGTATCAACGGTCATTGGTGAATTTTTTATTTCCTTCGATATCAACAGGTATAACTATGATAAAAAGTTAGCCCCCTTTGCAGTGGAGTATATGTGTGTTCCCATGGTGTCCCTGCACCAGCTCACATGGTCGATGAATCAATCGGGAAACCGGATAAAATTCCAAAACGTCACACGTACGAGGTATATATATATTATCTATGCACGGAACGAAGATAATGAATTGCAAAATGTAATGTTGCCCACGCGCCTCGAAAGCACCTGCACCCTTGGAATCCTCCGAAGCAGCAACCAGCTCGTATGAATCACAACCGAGTTTCCACAATCGTCATCGCCACTCGGAGATATAAGCAGGAAGGACTCGTAGGTGTTGGTGGGGGGTGAATTCCAAAAGGAAAAGCGTAGCGATAAATCAAAACAAAACGAGCGTCTCCGTGTGGGGCGTCCTCTTCCGCGGTGATCAAAAGTTGACGAACGAGTCCCACTACAATACACGAGGAGGCGGAGGAGGAAGAGGGTATATCAGGTGTCGTCGAGATGAGGCAACGAGCACGACGCGACAAAGAGCCGAAACAATCGAGCCTTTGTCCGTGTAATCCCGTGTGCCATTTTGCCATTCCGAGTGATTATTTAAATGAGGTGGCGGCGCCTCTTTATCCATACGACTCCGCGGTGTATATTCACGCGGCCGCTAATGTGTCAATTATATGCGCGCTTAGTGCGTGTACGTATTCAATTGGTCGCGCTGCGGCAAATATGGGCTGCCGACAAAGGAGAGAGAGAGAGATAATATATATATACAGACGCGGGGAGGCTGCATAGGGAGAGCGTATCGGCTCTTTTTATCGAAGCTGGCGCTCTCTCGGCTTAGACGACATTGCTAACCATCGATGATTGATGCCGCGTACTGCCTTTCGTACGTTGTACCCTCGATGACGAAACCGAGGGCGCATGGTAGCGGCGTTTTTAATGTACAATAGGCTTCTTTTTCTTTCTTTTTTTCTTTTTAAATCTGAAAAGCTTTAAATGGCATCCTGCAACTATCTCATCATTCCAAAACAATACGCAAAAGAAAAAAGCTCACCTCGGCTGCATAATATTATACAGGTACATACGTGATGAAAATAATTTTCAAAATAACCCACTCCATCCTCTTTCTTTTTTCCCGAGATTCCACGCGCCAAAGGCGCGAATCAAAGACTAAAAGGAGCACAGCAGGATCCAACACTCGTCGCGCGCGCATCACCCACACACACACACTCGCAGAGCCAGGAGTAAGAAGAGAGATGATGCGTGAGCCGGCCGGACTCCATTCTGCAGCCGCGAAGTAGAAAAAGACGTCTATGACGGGACCGCCGTAGGGGCCCTGCCTTACTCTACTCGGCGCGTGTGAATCGGCGCAGCCTCTCACACACCGCGTACATAATATAGCCACGCCGGCCGGTACATTATATCCCCTCTCGGAGCCGTCGTTCACGGGAACGTCTCAACTTCCTCCGCGATACTCGTTTGACGGACGCGCGCTTCGCGATGAGGACACGCATCATATATACAGGCGGATCCAAGGAGGACCTGGACCATATTTTGTCAATCGCTTCCAGTTCAATCGAATGGGGCACAAAAGGACAAACAGATAGCACGGGCGCGCGTTACCGTCCTCCGTGACCTATTGCACTCGCGCGGGAAAGAAAGAAAGAAGGAGCGCGCACATCATCCTTTGATACTCCTATACGATGCGTCTCCTCCCCCGTATACGCGAGCCCGCCCCGCGTATACGGACAGACGCGCCGAGGGCCTCGCACGCGAGCACAGGCTACGGGACACGTTTTCCATTCCCGTTACGTTATAGGCGTTGCTCGTGCCTCTACGAAGATTATTTAATAGCCTCGCCCGTCCCGTGAGGTGTCCGCGGAGCATAAAGGATTATACCATTTCTCCATCCGGGGGGCCACCCCGAAACGTCGATCAATCACAGCGCCTTTTCTCACTCCTCTTGATTCTCGAGGACCATCATCGGGTTACCCTGGTGTACACAAAAAGTATCCGAAATCGATCGTCAAAGGAAAAAAAAAGTGTCCTGATGAGTCCACGGGGCGCGCAAACGGGGAAGGAAAGGAGAGCGATCCCACAAAAGAGCTACTCTGAAAAGAGCGAGCGCGGAGATGAGGTTGTGTGTCCCTCGGATGCGTGTGCGAGCACTCTACAGTCGCGTTCTATCCCCATTGAAGCTGCGGTCTGGCTTCTTTGTTTCCCCGCGGGCGTGGGCGTCGTAGGAATCTATTGTTGTCGGGAGAGAGTACTCCTCATATCTCCCGGGAAAGAAAGAAAGGCTGGGGGAGGGGGACTCGTCTTCCGAGTGGGTATGTATGCATCTATCTCGGGCGGATAGTGCCCCAGGGGAAAATGGGGAGCGGATCGATGAACCATCTCTCTCTGGTCGTGTGCGGATATCGAGGCGCTCTTTCAGTTTGGGGGAGGTGGAGATGTGCCGGCTCGATAGCTCGGCCGATTGATAAAAGGGGCTATCTCTGCGACTCGCTACGTATTTATGTATACTCCGTGTAGGCGCAGGTGGCGAGAGCTTTCGGACGCGCTGGGCCCGAGGCCCGTTACTCGCGAGTTTGTTGATCGTACTTGTTTTTTTATTATTTTTTTTTTCCGTAGAGCAGAAAAAAAAAAAAAATCGGGACAGACAAACGCTGCAGTTTCTAAAACGCGTCGTCTTCCGAGATAAACATCGGAGACGCGTGCGGCTGGTCTTAATGACGACATCCTGTGCGCGCGCGGAGTCTCTCGTGCACTGCTCGCGGAAAAACCGAGACAACGAGCATCAGTGCGACGACACGCCTTATTTCCACTTTCTTTGTGCACGTATACACACAAGAGTCGCGCTCTCTTTCTCCGGCTTTTGCGCTCATGCGTGTGTGTATTCGCTCGCCCACGCGGTACCGCAT